CATCATAAAGTGGCAACAAAGGGTTGTTTTGACGACACAAAATTCAATTTCCCACGTTTTGATTTCTTTCTCATTTCTTTCTTTTCTTGCTTTCACATTTTTTTCCGTAAATCTCAAAGAAGGTCACCATTTTTTGTTGTTGCTAAAATTCCTCCCCAGGTGCTCTTCCTCTTTATTTTACTTCCTGTTTATCAACTTCCTTTGTTCCTTCATCAACTCACGACTATTCTCATCTTGTTCATCTTCAACCTCGTCAACATTTAATCTGCTTCTTTATTTGCTGTTATTTTCGTTTCCCTTCCGCAGTTGCTTCCCATCCACATGATTACCTCATTTTGGTTATGTCAGGTAACGCAAATAGTCCACTAAAACTGCCTGTAAAGAAAGCATGCAGATTTCTCAAAGTGATTGTAGCAACAATTCCGAATTCCAATCTTTCCGTGCACTTTAGATATTTGAATTTTAAATTTTCTTACAGCAAATTAAGAGTTAATTTTATCTTTCTCCGTTTTGCAGTATTCACATTGAAAATGATAAATAACCCGGGAACTAATAGTCTGGCAAATAGGTATCATCATTTTAGAGTTGTAATATTTCAATGTAACAGCATGTTCTATTCTAATAGTTTATATTCTCAGATTACTCGCCCGTGAAACTCTCTAGTTTCCTGCATCCTTGCCATCTGCATTCTTAAAAATGCAACGCCAAACGCTATCCTGTCATGAAACCTGTTCTTCTATTGTCTTTAAATCTCGTTAAAGTCTTCTCTTTCTATTTCGCTTGTAGTAACCCCTGGCGTCTTTATATTATCATCTTACTTGGAAAAAAAAGTAAGAAAAAAAAAACTTTCTAAACTTCATGTTCCTCTCTTTCCACATCCCACTTTGTGTTCCTTACTCTTTCCCCATTCTTTTTTTTTTTCATTATCTGCTATGTGTTTTTGAGAATGGTAATAGGATTGTTTTCCCTTATCTTCTGAACCGTTTTTAAGTTGTCCTTCTTGATTGACTGCCAGCCAAACTTGGAAAGCCCTCTCAGTCTTACAATTTAAACCATGTCCAGAGGAAGAGGCGATGAAATTAAGTCTCTTCAAAATGTATCAGTTTCGAAAACGTGAAAGCAACAGAAGAGGCTATGGTTTGAACTCGTTACGCTAATTTTGCGTTCCCACGCTCAAACCGTCCCGCAATCCTTACGTCCACTTTAATTATACCAACGTATATTAATAATTTTATTCCACGACCCCAATATCGCTGCATTTAACATAGATTCGCTTTCATATATATATATATATATATATATATATATATATATATATATATATATATATATATATAATTTGTTATATAGGAATAAAGTGTCGCTGCCAACACTTGAGTTTAAATATAGATTGCCAGTGAGCAAACAGAGGCGATCCCATTATTGTATTAAGTAGACTACGTGACCATAGAGGAAACGCATAATTAGGAAGTAGCTGACGGCTAATGATCGCTATTTCTAGTCTATCCTCTGTTACTATTCGGACCACCATTTCTACTCTATCCTCTATTACTAACGGTCCGCTATTCTCTATACTATGTCCATATTCAGATCACTTTACGAATTACTATTCGAGCGAGTATTATCGAGCAAGTACTATTAGTGTGAGTGTTATTCGAAGGCGTCTGACACCAGTATTGTTCAACGGGGGGGAATATGCATGTATAAACAAAGAATTAATTCTCCTTTATAATTGAAAATGAAAACGATTTTTTGCGAATAACGTCACGCAGTATATTTTGTGCATCTTCTTTTTTTTTTACAGTACAACCGAATGAATTTCGTTTGTGTGTGCGGATGTATGTGACACAGATTTACGTTGTCTTTGTGTGGATAAATTTCCATCGAATTTAAGGCCGTTGGTATTGTTGACGCATGTAAACAAACTTAGTCTGCGTTTTTTCGTTTATGTGTCAATATCGCTAAATATTATTGTAATGTTATATACTTTAATAAATATGCGAAAAATGGGGGAAATTAATTAAATTTGAGCATTTCAGTTTTGTCTGTGTAACAAACGCTTGAAAAAAAAAACCCTGGTTAAAGGTTAACTGAAAGACTATTAGTGAACAAGAATTAATCATCTTTATAATAAAATAATTGTCTCCGGAAGAAACCACAAATTAGTTTGATTAATCTCAAGGTTATGGGTTAATAAATATCTTTCCAATTTTTAAATATCCCTTTTAAGGATGAAAAATATTGTTGATCGTTTTCTGATGTATACCTTCAAAACTTCACCCTAAAAGACTGCAATTTCAAATATTATTTATTTTATGTAAATTTCTTTCATATCGTCTGATAAGCTTAATAACATTATCATTATAAGAAGAAAAGCACCATCTTGATACATACTTTTTAATCCTATCTAAGCTTTCGACTTGCATAAGCCATCATCAAAGATGACAATTACATTACAATACATTAAACAATACACAGACATAGTAACAATGATAGTTTGTTTTTGTTTGCATGAAAGATTTCCAAGTAACGACAAAATCGTGTATACGAGACGCTGGAAGCGAAAATCGGACTGCGGCTCATGACATCACACATGACCGCGCGAGAGTGAAAACGAGAAATGTTAAGTATGGGAAGCCGTTGGTATAAACCAATGGCTTCTGTTACCAATTATAGACATTTAAGGATATTTGTGGAGATTTCATAGTTTATTTTGTTCAGGTTAGGTTTCAATTGTTTTATGTATATAGCTTCAAGAATTTTTAGTTTTTGTTTATTGTTTTCATGTTTAAGTATAGTTGTGTTTTCAACAAGGATTTTCCGGAATTGTGTATGCGGCCAGGCATGTTGTTTTAAATGCCTAAAATGTTAGAGTTAACATTCAAATGTACAGTCAAGAGTCGTGAAGTAGAGTTTGTGGTGTATATATAAATTTAATTTAAATTAAATTGCAGACAACTTTAAGGATCCATTGATTATATTTTATTTCCCCAAGAAAGTGTCCTCGGATCACATTTCCAAGCATAAAAAGGATTTTAAAATTTACATATTATTTTTATACGCGTTTGAGGGGTAGTTTTAAGTTGATGTAAACTGATAGAGAGAGGGGGAGGAGGACGACAGATATGGTTGAAATTAGAGAAGGAAGGGAGAGATAGGTATAATTTTAAATCTATTTTTATTAAGATACTTAAGGGTAAGGGAAATTGGGTAAGGAGCAAACATTGACCTATTTAATAAGTCATCTCACAGGAAAAGAGACAAAGAGAGAAAAAAAAGAAAAGATATAAGGAAGTAAATGGGGTAGCAGGGTTGGGAGAGAAACAGAAGGGAAAGAAGAAAAGGAAAAATAAATTAACATATATAAGCATATTGCAGTTAATTTTTAAAATACAGGATTAATATAGTTTATAGTTAACGCTTAATATTATTTTTAAAAATTATCAACAAAACAAAATAGGAGAAAAATAAAAATAATATGAATATAAAATAAAAGAAAAATATTAATATTATTAAAAACAACTAATAGTTAAAAGTAATATATATATATATATATATATATATATATATATATATATATATATAAAAGACAATACGAAAACTGTAATAGTTGCCGACGCGTTTCATCCAATGTGGACTTTTTCAAGGCAAAAACGAAATGAATTTATTAAACAAAGTAACTAATAATAATAAAAATAAATTAATAAATGCATTTCGTTTTTGCCTTGAAAAGGCCACATTGGACGAAGCGCGTTGGCAACTACAGTTTTCCTATTGTCTTTTACATTTATATACATATAGGTATCCGTTTATATAACGAGATAAAAGTATCGCCCTCTTTGGCCAAAATTCAGCCCGTTGATAGTGAAACTGGTGTAACCTCTTTAGGACGCAGGCCTGAGTGATCGTATATGGAGGTCGTGTGCTGCCAGGAATACATAACCCCCCAGACCCTTCTCGACTGTACCGTTAACATCAAAAGGAATACAGGAGATTACATTTGAGGACGGCTTGGCTGCAGGAGTTGCCGGAAAGTTGACAGTATTGACAGCCAACCGCCTTCGGAGCTCCACTCTGGGTTTTTTTTTTATCTGGATAGCCTTTTCCGTTTTTAGACAGCAGAGGATTAAAATCGGGTGTTTTCCTTCCCTTAGATGGACTGAATTCCTGGGCTGTCGAGCTTCATCTACCCGAAGGAGATGGTTATGAAGCACCAGTTATTCCCCTTCGTCCATTCTCCTACTTGCTTGTCCGAGGCTATTTGAGACGCATAGCACGGTAGCGTTTTATAGACAGTGGAAGTTTTTCTCCATTATCACCACTGACTAGGACATACATAATGTGCGTATAGAAACAATATATACATTACGTGTTTTCGAGGAAAAAGGCAAGAAAAATTACGAAATAATACATGAATAAACAAGCACAAATATCAAAAAGCTGCAGAAAGAAAAATGACAATATAAATAGGCATTTAGCCTAAAATAATAGGAGATTCAAACCGTTACTTTGTATTTAATATTTCACATTGCCTTTTTGACAGCAGTAACGCTTAAAATATCAACTGATAAAAATGAACAAGAGAAGAAAATGCAAAGTAGATAAATATCTTTAAGCAAAAGAAGAATGAAAATAAGGCAAATGATTTCCAGGTCAATTGTACAAAAACAAATAAATACTAATCCAGACAAAACTGTGGAAAAATAGTCGAAAGAAATAATAATAAACAGTACATCTGTAACTTCGAATAAATATGATAATCGTAATATATATAATAAATGAAATAAAATAAATAATAATCTCAAATTTATATCAAATTATTATCTTGCTTTCATAGCAGTATTTATGGGTTTTTTCTTCAGTTAAACATTAATTTTTCGACAAAATGCATCATATTGAGTTCAGAACCTGCGTCTCAAATCAGGAATGTAGCGAATGAGATAATCAGCTACCCCGAAAAAGAGATAATCAGCTACCTCGAAAAAGAGATAATCAGCTACCCCCAAAAAAGAGATAATCAGCTACCTCGAAAAAGAGATAATCAGCTACCTCGAAAAAGAGATAATCAGCTACCCCCAAAAAGAGATAATCAGCTACCCCGAAAAAGAGATAATCAGCTACCCCGAAAAAGAGATAATCAGCTACCCCGAAAAAGAGATAATCAGCTACCCCGAAAAAGAGATAATCAGCTACCTCGAAATAGAGATAATCAGCTACCTCGAAAAAGAGATAATCAGCTACCCCCAAAAAGAGATAATCAGCTACCCCCAAAAAGAGATAATCAGCTACCCCGAAGAAAAGATAATCAGTTACCCCGAAAAAGAGATAATCAGCTACCTCGAAAAAGAGTTCATGCTTTGTGTGCGATCTACCGAAGAAAAATTACGAAAAAGTAGTCAGTAAAAAAAAAAAAAACTAGTTTAAGGACTAGAATTTATGCTAATCTTCTTCCCTCCCCTGAATGGCTTGACCAATCAGAAAGATCTCTCGGTGAACAAAAGCCGTTGTTCTTCGCTTATGAAGGCAGGAGATTTCCTGAGCTTGGTGGACGAACACGCGTTTTTTGCTGGTGAGAAGTGAAGGTTCGATGTATGACCCGATTTTGTCGTTTCTACGCTGCCTCTTGGACTGTTACGACGGACTATCGTTTGAACTGTGATTTGGCTACAAGTGTTGCGGTCGAGAGACAGAAGAAATCTATTGCAGACGTTTATTGCTACTATAAGTTGACAATCTTTTTCTTTTCTTTACAACCACAGGGCATTCAAGAAACTTTGATCGAGGATATGGGCATTCCTTAAAAGGGTGAACAAAATCTTACTTGGCTGGATGCCAGATCAAAGAGCAGTTTCTCCTACAGAGGGGGACGAACGATCGAACACTGGCGGGAGCACATTTTTTTATTATGATTTCTCGATTCCCCAGGTTGGTGGACGGAATTCACAAGATTTAAAAAAACAGGCATTTTTAAACATTATTTTCCTCCCAAAATAACATAGGATTAAAAACCGATACATTAATTCCTAATATATATATTGTTATAATCTTAGCTCTGCGATATATATATATATATATATATATATATATATATATATATATGTGTGTGTGTGTGTGTGTGTGTGTGTGTGTGCGCGCGTGTGTGTGTGTGTGTGTTACAAAGAAGTAGTCATACAAGGAATAAATCAGTAAAGTTAATTTTTATCAGCAAATTTGATGGTTTCTAATATTTCATGTAAACATAAGAAGCACAGTTCATCTAAAGATTTACAAATTCTAGTTTTCTTTTAGTATTTTTCATTTTGTCGTAGGGTTTTTTTTAACTTCTTTTAAGTTCTAAAATTATCTAGAAAGGGACGCCCTATTTCTGTACACCTTATTGGAGAAAGATAATACATGTTGGTACCAAAAATGAATTCTTGGTATTCCCGATACAAAATTATTAACTTTTGGATTTTCAATAGTAGAAATCGTGCGTAGGTAAACAAGTGAGTCTGTTTTGCAATGGACATTCGTTAGAAATTATACAATTACACTTACGTTTGTTGCTTTGGGATGCCAACTATTACTCAGGTTTTTGTATTGATTTAAAATTTTATTATTATGTTTTTTAATATAGATTATCAGTACAGCTATAGCTTAGTTGCAGTATATTTCTCTTAAAAATCATTCTAAGTGAATTATTTTTGGGAGGCTATGCAGGAAATATAACGGCTAACTCTTGACTTGAATAAGTCAAGATTTAATGACTAAATAACATTTCAGAGTTCAGACGGAGAGGTTAGAAGTATAGAATTGAAGTAAACTTTAGAAAGAGCCAGAGCCATATATATATATATATATATATATATATATATATATATATATATATATATATATTATTTATTTAAAAATATGATTCCAACTCGCGACACAAGAGGTCTCATATTTGAAACATGAGAACTCTTATGTCGCGAGTTGGAATTATATTTTTAAATAAATAATTATATTTATGCTGTACTTTTGTATCGAACACTTTGGATTATTTACCTAACCAGTTCTTACCTATTTTCTATATATTTTCATATATATATATATATATATATATATATATATATATATATATATAGATACATAGATATATATATTTATGTATGTATGTATGTATGTATATTACAAAGAACTAGTCATACAAGGAATAAATCAGTAAAGTCAATATAGTTAATACCGAATTCACTTCGCTAACAGATTTAATAATGCATTAACTTACTAACCACTAGTTGATTGACGCGATCTTTGTTTTTAAAAATTATGAAATGAAAAATAAACAAAATAATATACATGCCTGAAGATGATAAAAGAATTTATCGAAAGTACTTGCAAATGAACTTTCCTATTATGCTGTTCCTTGATCTAAGCTTTCGGCTCACATGAGCCATCATCAGAGTCGTTATATGAACATTTCAACGAATATATTCGCCATCAAAGCATAATAAAAAATATACAAATGTTGAAGATTTGTCATCATTTCTCCCAAAATTAAAGCAAACATACGAAGCTTACAGCGGTTCATGATCAAATATAATAGAAATATGTTGTTATATTCAACAATAGATGTTTGAATAATGTTCTGCTGCCCCAATACAATATATATATATATATATATATATATATATATATATATGTGTGTGTGTGTGTGTGTGTGTGTGTGTGTGTGTGTGTGTGTGTGTTTCATTGAATAATATAGATATATTGTGTCTACTTATTTTTATATTGATCTTTTCCAGGGGTCTAATCAGTTTCTACATGTTAGGATGAAATTAATGAAGGAAAGCGCCGTAGATTTTTTTTTAACCCAGGTAGTGAACAGGTATTCCCTATCCACTTTGGTCAGTTCGGTCGATGTGTGCAATGCTATGTACGTATCAAGTACCCTTGTAACATCTTGTAGTTATCAAGGGGGCACATGTTCACACATAGATTTTGTCGACCACCTGATGATTGCGTGAGAAAGTATGGAACCTTTAGTTGTTGTCGAACAACGTTCACCCGAAATTTATTGTAACACACACACACACACACACACACACACACACACACACACACACACACACACACACACAATAATGGACTCTCCCGTCGGTTTCGACCTATGAGGATCTGACAACTTAATTGATTCAGTTATGAAATTTTGTGCGATAATCGTAAGTGGCACTCAAGATCTGGTAGTGATTTACAACGGAGGCCGCATATGGAGCAAAAGTAAGGATGGTGGGATGAGATCACGGTTATATTGGCTGACCTTTTAGATCTGCCCCCGCTTCTTGAAGACGATTCAGACAAGCTGATTGAAAACTGCTGAGTCCACTAAAACACGTTGATCTCCATTCTACCCGCTCCAAGGCTAATATATATATATATATATATATATATATATATATATATATATATATATATATATATATATATATATAAATGAGAGAGGGAGATGTACCGTGATACTGACATCATTAGGCAATTATTTAATTAACGAAACTTGATTCAGTCCAGAAAGATTCTTAAAAGCTAAAAAGGAATAGGAAAACTGTAGCAGAGTGAACGCATTTGCCTTCAATCTAACATTCTATTTATTCGAAATATTCGTTATATATATATATATATATATATATATATATATATATATATATATATATATATACTTTATTCAAATATATTTTATCATGCATTAATAAATGACGGATTACTACAATATATTAAGATTTGATCACAATGTTATGAACTTTGGAATTTATATTATTCGATTAATTCTCAGTCCAGTATATATATATATATATATATATATATATATATATATATATATATATATATATATATATATGAATATATGAATATATATATATATATTCTATACGTGCAGAAAGATTCTCGTATAACACACATGCTATTGTATTTTTTTTGAAAATCAAACGCTAAACGAATTCACACTATTTCAAAGCAACGAACTACTTTCAGCCCAACTGAATATGTTCCCTTCAAGGTTAAAGCTTTTATATTTGACGAATCAAAGTTTCCTTTTCTACATCGTGGTGATGAGGAGTAGGAGGAATGTGTTTGCCACTCGACTGAAGTGTTTTTCTTCAAGTCTCGGTTTGATCGGCTAGAAATACATTCGAGAGCAAAATGCTTTCAAGGAAAACATTTGTACAAGATAAAATAATATTAGTTTATATAGGCACAGACACACATCTATCTATCTATCTATCTATCTATCTATCTATCTATCTATCTGAGTCTATTCATATATATATATATATATATATATATATATATATATATATATATATATATATATATATATATCTGTATCTATGTTTCTTATTTATCTCAGTTCATGTTTCTATCCTTTCCCTCTATCTATCTATCTATCTATCTCAGACTATTCATATCTGTCGATCTATCTTAGACTGTTCATATCTATCTATCTATCTATCTATCTATCTATCTAGCTATCTATCTTAGACTTCATATCTATCTATCTATCTATCTATCTATCTATCTATCTATCTATCTATCACAGACTTCATATCTATCTATCTATCTATCCCAGACCGTTCATATCTATCTATCTACCTATCTATCTATCACAGACTTCATATCTATCTATCTATCTATCTATCTATCTATCTATCTATCTATCTATCTATCTCAGACCGTTCATATCTATCTATCTATCTATCTATCTATCTATCTATCTCAGACTTCATGTCGATATATCTATCTATCTATCACAGACTTCATATCTATCTGTCTATCTATCTCAACTTCATATCTATCTATCTATCTATCTATCTCAGACTGTTCATATCTATCTATATATCACAGACTTCATATCTATCTATCTATCTATCTATCTATTTATCTCAGACTTCATGTCCATATATCTATTTATCTATCTTTCACAGACTTCATATCTATCTGTCTATCTATCTCATCTCATTTATCTTCATCTATCTCATCATATCTATCTATCTATCTATCATCTACTATTATCTCAGACTTCCATATCTATCTATCTATCTCATCTATCTATCTATCTATCTATCTATCTATCTATCTATCTATCTATCTATCGTTCTATCTCACACTGCTCATATCTATCTATCTATCTATCTGTCTATCTATCTTTTTTTAACACATGACGGAAAATCAAAATTAGCATTTCAGGAATCGAACAAAGAGGTAAAGAACTTACAAAACTAAAATGATTAATTGGTCTATTGTCTTTCTGCGCTTTTGAATTTATTCATATGAAACAGATTTTATAACATCCAATATAGTTTTGCAAAGTTCATCTTTGCTTACTTACATTAATTACATTATTCGGCCTGTTGTCATTATCTTCATTGCCATATTCACAACTTTTTGGCCATTGTACGCCCCGGCCTTCTTCAGGTGATTGGAATTTCGAACCGAACCCTTTATTTCATCCACCGCGGTAGACTGTTCTAGTTCCACGATCCATGCCTCTCCCAGATGTCTCAGTTATTTCATTTTAACTCAACTCAATTTGGTTCAACACTGCTGTGGCCTGGTATTGAACTCAGAACTCTTTGGGTCTAGTCACTATAACTAACCAACGCCTTTATCCACTGCGCCCTGCATCCTTGTAAATATGGCAACGAAGATAACAGTCCGAATAGTGTAAATAATGTAAGTAATCATAATATCTTATCGCAGAGCTATAGACAGATATTGATATTTACTGCTAAATTGCCGTCTAACAAGGTAAACAGAAAGGAGCAGGTTTTCAGCTCGGTTAGATCAAGCGAACAATCTAACCAATTCATCAAACAAGTGTCTGTGAAATATTCATTGTTTTCGCTCAATGTGATGGAGACTTGCTCATAAGATACATCATCTTCTTTCTGAACGTGTTTGACTTCTTCTTTAACCACGGGCCTACAAGCGCCTTCAAAAACTCAGTCAAGGCTGTCATCTTAGAATAATCTTGAACCATGCAACTTCTATTAATATTATCCACTAAAAATAACGTCTAAAGTGACAAAATATATTGGATTAATAAATAGAAATCCATTACTTATTAGAAATGTTTGGTTAAGAAACTAACCTGACATGGAAATTTCAAGAGTTTGGGACGAGTAGGATTTCGCTTAATGACACTATTCAGTCTGGCTTGATCTGCAAAAGTTCTTCGTAGCTGGGTCAATTAAAACACGTCGGATCTAACTAATATTTTCCTTTAATAAGATTTTTCGAATAATCAGACTGGTAGACGAAAATAAATATACTATTTAATAAATAAACAGTGTGTCTACTGAAATATCGGTGTCGAGTAAAAATAACGTATAAAAAGATAAAATAGATAGATAGATAGATAGATAGATAGATAGATAGATGGAAACATTAAAGATAATGCACAGATAGATAGATAGATAGATAGATAGATAGATAGATAGATAGATAGATAACCTTGTTATAATAGATAGATAGATAGATAGATAGATAGATAGATAGATAATCTTCTTGTTATGATAGATAGATAGATAGATAGATCTTTTTGTTATAATAGATAGATCGACAAATAGGTAATAGATAGATAGATAGATAGATAGATAGATAGATAGATAGATAGATCTTCTTGTTATAATAGATAGATAGATAGATAGATAGATAGATAGATAGATAGATAATCTTCTTGTTATAATAGATAGATAGATAGATAGATAGATAGATAGATAGATAGATAGATAGATAGATAATCTTCTTGTTATAATAGATAGATAGATAGATAGATAGATAGATAGATAGATAGATAGATATGGAAAAATTAAAGATAATGTACATATGGATAATAGATAGATAGATAGATAGATATTTGCGGTAAAGTAAGTATATTATTATCAGTAAGTACATTGTAAATATATAATACATTTTACCATCTATTCAGTATCTTATCACTCACTCATTTACTGACGTTTTATATACCTTGAATATAATTTTCCCTAAATAATTATAAATAAAACGGACATGCAATGAAAATAATGACTCATATGAGTTCATATGTAAATGGCTTCTGGCTTGACATAAAATCAAAATGGCGAATAAGATACTGTTAACTTCCGGCTATTATTTGAGCATATTGGAAACAGTATTAACTTTGTGGGTAATATTAGGAAACCCTGAATAGCTAAAAAAAAGTGAGGGGAGATTATGAACTTGATATAAATGTGAAAATGTTTATGACACGGACATTAATTCTTCAAAGATCGACTTCTGATGTCTGCTCAAACGTTCGATGCTTGAATGTAAATATGTTTAAGAGTTCAGGCAGTCCTTATCAGAAATGTCGCAGAAGGCCTCCTTGCCTGCCATGCCAATCGACCTTCATAAATCTCTTTTATATTTTTATTGTTTTATCGTTTAATAAAAGCTAAAGAAATTGCTTTTTTTTAAAGGACACCATCCGCCTGCTGACGACTAAAGATAGTAAATAAAATCAATTAAAAATAGTAAAAAGATGTGTGTTGTTATCTGCTCGGAATGAGAACTCGAAAAGCCCAGTTAGAATTCGTCACATTCGCTTAAACGCAAAAGCCTTTAGGAAAAGCATGAACCCGTCTCTTCTGCTCCTAACTATGGTTTGAATAGCAGGACAGTCTGAGTCATATAACCTTAATTGTCAACAAGTCTACCACAGAAAGAAATGGAAACTTACTGCGGGAAAATCTTCTGCCTGGTCGGTCATGAATCAAAAGAGTTATGATCACCCAAACATGTATCAATTATGGTAACTAATGTATTGATTGAATTGTCTTGCGAGTTGGGAAGGGTTTCAAATCAAAAACAAATACAAAAGATGCAAGACTATAATCCAAATAAAGGGTCTATCTTTATCTTGAAAAAGTTTAACATTAATATTCTCAATGGTTAGTATAGACAAAAATAATTGTGCAAAATGTGATATTTCCTGTGCTGAACTGCTAGGAGCCTTCACTGATATCTACGTTGGGGCCCGTAATTTCTCCAGGTGTAGTTGCTTAATTAATTTTGCTTTCGTTCAGACAAAAGTGTAAAACCCCAATTTATTATATATATATATGTGTGTGTGTGTGTGTGTGTGTGTGTGTGTGTGTGTGTGTGTGTGTGTTCAAACAGGTTTTAAAAAATTTGGAAATATCATGTCGATTAGCTTTCGTTGTGATCCTTTCAAGTTCACTGATTCATGTTTTGTTAGACTTAGAAAATTGAGTAAGAAAAATAGTAAAAAATTTTTTCGAATATTTTTTTTTTTATTTTTACAAGTACATTCAATCTCATCTGAGACAATCTTCAGCATCTTAAATTGTCTGGGAGTATATCTACGTGTTTCTGTGAATTTAAAGAATTTCAACTGTTTTTTGGGGGGGTCGGGTAAACTTATGCAGCGTTCTAGATTTCAAAGTTCAAAGTTCACGTGTTCTTTTGTTTGTTTTGTTTCAGTATAAGCGGAGTAACTGTGTTTTTTTTTTGATGATACGTTTATAATTTTTGTTTTTCTTGCTCATACGTATATAATTTTTTATAAGTATTTAAGGTTTTTGTTGCTGTACTTATAGCTGACTTCATTTTTTTTTTGTTTTTTAACTCTCTTATATATAGGGCTACAAGAATGTTTAGGTTTGCTTGTTATTGTTTTTATATAATATAAAATTATTTTCAACTAACATCCGTCTAATCTGAAGATCCGAATACAAAGTACTAGTGCACCGTAGGCTACAAGGTCCCCAGATGACCTTCTGCAGATTTTGAACTCAGAGATGACCTTTCGCTACCCAAGGCTATAGCACCCAGAGAGATGAATTTATACCGCTAAGTTTTCCCTTAGAATTTGGAATTTGAACTCGACTCTCCGATCTCTCAATCAGAGCGACATCCATTACTCCACCATGCCCTCACAATATATATATATATATATATATATATATATATATATATATATATATATATATATATATATATATAAACTGTGGGTGATGATAATGGTACCGCTATCGTTAACCACCCGGTAAGACGTCTTTATACGTTGAAACAAATATACATTTTGTCGTGGTAACTTGCCTGTTCCAGTGCAACAGTTTATAGTAAATATCTATTGCTCTACTCTTGTATAGTCCCTTTTTAAAATTCATGTTACGAACGTTTGAATATATATTCTTTTCGTTTTTTTTACATTTGTATATATATATATATATATATATATATATATATATATATATATATATATATATATTACAGCAAAAAAGGTGTTCTGTACATGGCTACCATCAGCCGCATACAGAACGGCTTGAAATAGACTATCCTCTATGTTGAGGTAATTTTGTTTTTTTTGCTGTAAAAAATACATATACTCTATTATAATAAATACATCGAGCTCTCTGTGGATCAGTTTTAATAATTAATATTACTAGGCTGTCCTGAGTATGACGACAAACTACATCCGTGTCCTGGGTAAGACGATAAAATACGTCCAGCAGCAAGGCCTCTCATCAGGAGGTTTTGAGGAGTGTGGAACCACTTCGTAATTGCTGGTGCTCACAGGTCCACCCTGACCCTGTGTGGTAGCACCTGTTAGGGCCCCAGCTATGGGCAAATAGTTAACCCAGAAACTGAGGTAAAAACACTATGAAAGTGTAAAGATAGGTTTTAATACCAGAAGTACGTCATAAAAACTATTACCAGCGTTAAATTTTTGAAGAAAAAACAATTACCAGCAATATATTTTTGAAAAAAATATTGCCAGCAATAATGTTTTGGAAAAGATATTACCTGTTATACATTTTTGGAAAAAAATATTACCAGCTATACATTTTTCAGAAAAAATATTACCAGCAATAATACTATTTAAAAAATATTACCAGCAATACTTTTTGAAACAAAATATTACCAGCAATACTTTTTGAAACAGAATATTACCAGCAATACTTTTTTTGAAACAAAATATTACTAGCAATACATTTTTGAAGGACAAAATTATTACCAGAAATAGATTTATGACAAAAAAAAAATATTACCAGCAATAAAAACTTTGTCGACATTAAATAATCCATTGAAGTTGATATGCCGTAAAACAAACCAAACCAAACTAATATTACTAGGATCGACCCGGATTATATACCAACGGATCGATTATTA